ACACAACAACAGAAAAGGGGTGAGAATTACATTCAATAATATACAGTGAAAATCACATGCTAATAAGTAGTTATCACACAAATCACACCAATCATACCATCACAATGCACATGCAAGTGCCATATCAATACTCGGCATATTCAGCCTACATTCAATCATATACATATGCAATGTGATTCAATTAACACGACACAATGCATACGGTACCATCGCAATCCATACGGTACCATCGCAATCCATACAGTTCCTTCATCAAACCTGATTCCCGTTGGAAATTGGATAAGTCGTATAAGTTCCTTTGAACTATAACTTATCTCCACCTGACTCCCACATGGAGTCTGGACGAGACTAGACACCCATCATGGATTCCCACCTAGCTCATTTCCATATAATATACCATGAGTGCATGACACACCATTATGCATAATATAATAATTATTCATGCATAAACTCATGATCCTCAATGATCACCCGTGAGCCACATACTCACCGTAATTCCCTCTAGAATTACTACCACAGCTCAAGACTGTCCACATGACAACAGTCTAGGCGCATAAGCATCAAACACATCTCATAAAGACAATCACGTAAAATACCATGTTTTATCATATTTACTATCATTGTTGATTCCCACACGTCCCATTATATCATTTTAGTCTTACGGATGAAGAGAAATTGCATCACGCGTGAAATCAGGACAAAAATTGCAAAAATGGGAAAATTGCACTACATCCCTGCCGATACACGTATGGCCATTTTCCCTCGCCCTCAGGCCTGCGTACCATATGCGTAGGGCCTCCATGCCCAGGCCTTCATACGCGTATTACCTTAGGCCTTACGCCTATGACCAAAGAGGATTTCCATTCGAAAACCCATCAAAAACCTCTCATACGCGTATGACCTACTTCCCCCCTACGCGTACCTTACACGTACTGGAAAATGGTCGTGCTGGCATGGGGATAGAGCGCATACCATACGTGTAGTGACCTCTGGGAGTGTCCCCCATACGTGTATTGCCCCCTGGCGTACACGCATGGCCAGTCTACTGCAGAAAAATTGGTTTTTCGCATCAGTGCAATTTCTCCCCCCCCCATTAGAGCACTTCCAAGCTCCTAATTCATATTTAAAACATCATTTGTATCAACATAAGCCTAAAGTCCTGATTTTAATTCATTAATTCATCCTTTTACCCAAATTTTCTACCATTTGAAATCTATTTTCGTTAACCCCAAAACCTCCCAAAATTTCCAGATCTGATTCCATGGTAAACACATCAACAACATACATTTTACATGAATTTCACATCAACATCAGCATACAAACATGAACTCACAACAACAATCACCCAAATACGAAAATCAAACAAGAAGGAGAAGAAATGCACATAAATTCTAAGAGGGAAAGGAACCCCCACTACTCTCTCATGTTAAGACCACCATTAAAGAACCAATTCTCCCCTTACCTGAATTTCCAAGCTTTTACTCTCTTCAACAATGGTGAAACCTTTGATCATTTCTTGCCCTAGTTCTCCTTCTTTATTCTTTTGTTTCTCTTTTCACGTATAACTGGTTTTTCCTGTAACCTCTCTACCACTTTCCTCTAATTATGTTTTAATTCCCTAGTTTTAGTAATAATGATAATCCTAATAATAATAATAATAGTATCATAACAATAATAGTATTAATAATAATACTAACAATATTAATATTGATAGAATATCTCATTATGTATATTATTATTATAACTACTATTCTAAGACTTAATTTCATTTAATTCATTCCACTAAGCTCTCATACCCACCCTTATGCACACCCTTAACCAAGACAATACCATAATAATCACACACAATAAATCATAAACGACTAAATATTTAAATGGGGTGTTACAACTCTCCCCCACTTAATACTACTTTCTTCCTCTCCGGTACGACTCTCGCATGTTGCTCTCTAATTCCCAGGCCACACTTCCTCCAGCAGCTCCTCCCGAAGCTACTCTCACTAAAGGAATGTCTTTGCCCCTCAACTGTTTCATCTTGCGATCCTCGATCCTTATCAACACCGCTTCTACGGTAAGATTATCCTGAACCTGTATTTCATCCCTTTGAAGAACATGATATGGATTAGCAATGTAGTTCCGAAGTTGCGACACATGAAACACATCATGCAAATTCGAAAGTTCGGGTGACAGCGCCACTCTATATGCAACAACTCCAACTCTCTGCAAAATCTGATATGGTCCAATGAACTTAGGATCCAACTTCTCCGATTTCAGCGCACGACCAACATCGATCACAAGATTGACCCACAGAAACACGTGGTCATCTTCCTTGAAATCCATGTCTTTCCTCCTATTATCATGATAACTTTTCTGCCTACTCTGGGATGCTTCTAATATTAGAACTCTCATTTTTATTTTCAAAGAGTATTCTTTAGCTTTTGGTCAAGTGGTTAATTGTGCAAAGTCATCTATCTATGGAGGGGCTAAGTATGCTTTCAGAATAAATATTTTGTCAAAGCTATCCAGTTTTAGCATATGCATCACTTCTTTTAATTATCTTGGGGTGCACATCTTTAAAGGAAGGCCCAAGGCTAGATTTCTTCAACCGATTACCGATAAAGTCATTAACAAGCTTACGTCGTCTTTGAAAGGTTTGCTTTTATCTTTTGCCGGCAGAGACGAGCTTGTTAAATTAACTATTCAAGGTATGGTCATTCATTTCATGTTTATATATGCTTGGCCACTTTACCTTGTTAGAGATTTGGAGTGTGCTGCTCGAAATTTCATTTGGAGTGGTGACTCCTCTTAGAGTAAGTCAGTGGCTTGGAAAAATAGTTGCAAACTAATTTCTGAAGGTGGTTTAGGCCTTAGACCGTTGGTTGCTCTTAATGAGCCCACAAATCTAAATCTTGGTTGGGATCTTTTTAATTTGGAGGAAACTTGGGCAATTCTTCTTAGGTCTCAGGTGTCGAGGAAGAATAAAATCATTAAGCATCACATTTTCTCCTCGATTTGGTCTAGTGTAAAGAATGAGATTTTGTTTATTCATGATAATTCTTCTTGGATCCTCGAAAATGGCAACTCGATTAGTTTTTTGTATGATAATTGGTGTGATCCCCCTTTGGTTTCAGACAAGGGAATCCTGACCGTGGATGAAGACCTTCTGTCAGCTCTTTCATCATTGAACACAACTCATATTTCTTGAGCAGCAATCATGATATCCCCGAGTCTCTTCAAATCAGAATATGTAACTGTCACATTCCTTTTGATCTTCGTCTGGATAAAAATATTTGGAATCATTCTATTTTGGGTGAGCTAATGCTCAAAGCTGCCTATGATTTTAAGCGTAATCCAGGAGTTCGTAAAGATTGGTGGCGTTGGGTTTGGTCAAAAACCATCCCGCCTTTAAAATCGTTTTTAGTGTGGCGACTGTTACTCAACAAGCTTTCAATGGATGACCAATTAAAGAGAAGGAATTTTTATATCCCTTTAAATTGCAGCCTCTGTAATATTGCTGAAGAAACTGCATCTCATCTTTTTTTTAGTGTTCATATGTTGTTCATCTCTGGTGTTGGTTATTCAAAATTTTAAAAATTAATACTCAGATTCACAATTAGGAAGACGCCTGGATCATTTGCAACAATGTCTGGTCAGAGCAATGCAAGTTAATTTTTAATGTGGCTGTTATTTATCTGTTTAATGCTGTTCAGATTGCTCCAAACAATGTCAGGTTTAAAGAAAAACTCATCACTACTTCTTCTTCTATTTTGTTTATTTTATCGGCCTACTCTCTGACTGAAAACAATTACAAAGCTTCTTTCTTTATCAATATTCAAAAATTTGAGATCCTTAAATATTTCAAAGTCAAAATCTAGCCCCCTATAGCTCCTAAAATTTTGGAAGTTATTTGGAAGCTCCCTTCATGTAACTAGATTAAATTCAATTGTGATGAAGCGTTTATAGGTAATCCGCGTCCCTCTGCTTGTGGTGGTATTGCCAGAGATTTTGAGGGAGAATTTCTTGGTGCTTTTGCCCATTTTTTAGGCGTGTCAAATTTTCTCATTGCCAAACTCTCCGGTGCTATGTCAACAATTGAGTTCGTTAATGGGAAGAGTTGACATGATTTATGGTTAGAATGATATTTTATAGCTGTGGTTCAAGCTTTCAAACCTCCATACTAAGTGCCTTGGCAAATTCGAACTAGATGAATTCACTGGGTAAATATCACGGATAATATTTCTTTTGCGTCTTTTCACATATACAGAAAGAAAGAATTGCACTGATTCTCTTACTAACATAGATCTTTCCGGTGTAAAACTTCCATCAATTTAGTTTGACACCTAATTTTTGAGGGTATATTTTGTAATGAATATATTTTGTTTGCTTTTCTTTATGAGAGGGTTTCAATATAATTCCCTGTCAAGTTTCTACCTATTTCCTTTTGCTATATATTATTTTATTAAAAGAATATTAATGTATATGGTTGAATAAGAATGAAAGTTAAAGATTGATTTTCTTTAAAACAATTATTTGAAAATGAATAGAATAATAATTAAAGTAGTTTTTTTTAATGAAAACACCTAATAAAAAATAATATTCGTTAATAAAATCTTAATAATATAAACATACCATGACACAATATAAATTAGAAAAATTAAAAAAATACAATTTAAGATACAATTTGGTTATTTATTGAAGATCTCGAAAAAAAATTAATATGTTAAAAATATCAGATCAAATCGAAAATGCTTTAAAAAATTCTTAATATTGAATCAGTATAAATAAAAATGATGATATAAAAAGAAAAAACAAAATGAATAAAGATACATTTATTTTATAAATCAACAAGAGTTTTTTGTCATAAAATAATCATTTAAAACCCTATAACATCGAGAAAAAAACTTTAAAAAATAGGTATAAAATAGTGCAGAGAGGGAGAAAGAGGAATAGAGAGGGAGAAGAAGGGTTTGGTTTTGTTGAACGAAAAAATCAGAATTGAGAATATGGGTAGCGGTGAAATGGGAGTTGCAGAGAGTGACGGTGCTTCCCTACCCTCAATCGGAGCCGACGCAATGAAGCGAAGAGTAACCTACTTCTACGAACCAACCATCGGTGATTACTACTACGGCCAAGGCCACCCAATGAAACCCCACCGAATACGCATGGCTCATAACCTCGTCATCCACTACGCACTTCACCGTCGTATGCAAATCAACCGTCCTTTTCTCGCCGGTCCCGAAGACATCCGCCGTTTTCACGCCGACGACTACGTCGACTTCCTTTCCTCCGTTTCGCCGGAGATTCTCTCCGAGAATTCTCACTCTCATTACCGTCAGCTCAAGCGGTTCAACGTTGGTGAAGATTGTCCTGTTTTCGATGGACTTTTTCCGTTCTGTCAGGCCTCTGCTGGTGGATCGATTGGTGCTGCTGTTAGGCTGAATCGCGGTGATGCTGATATTGCTATCAATTGGGCTGGGGGATTGCATCATGCTAAGAAAGCTGAAGCCTCTGGGTTTTGCTATGTTAATGACATTGTTCTTGGTATTCTCGAGCTTCTTAAAGTTCATAGGGTATTTTTCTTTTTCTTTACTCGTTTTAACTTTATATACCTTGCTAAATATTTTGCTATTCGATTCTGTAACTATTATGCTCGTAAGTTTTTTTCTTCTTGTTCCTTACTTGTGTTTGTGCCCTAAATTGCTTCGAAAGGATTCACACTCTAGCGCGGTTTGGATAAACAGTTGAATTTGCAACTTATAGTATAAGCTCTTAACCTATAAGCACTCATCATGGAAATCAGTTATCTTCGTAGAAATAAGCTGAATACAACTTATGAATAATACTGTAGCTTGTTTTCATTATTTCTAACTAACACTCTCGCTGGTGCTTGTGCCACTAGTCTTTTAGTCATATGACACATCATGACTGTATAATAAATAGTGTATAAAATGAGGTTACATTTGTAGCTGGAACATAAATCTGAAGTAAAAGATATAACTGAATCCTAATGATGTAAATGTTGGCATGGGTTGTTGTTAACAGAAGTGATTAATGTTGCAAAAAAACTTTTTGTGCTGTAATTAAGCCATTCGCAATGTATTTATATAAGAACTTCCCCCCTATTGACACTTTCTGGAATTTCATATGTATGTATCCAACCATTTTCCCAGATTTGTGCAAGAGTGCCGGATGTTTACTTGTTTGGTATATAAATATAAGAGCATTTAAAGTGACAGTGAATAGTGCTAGTACATGTATACTCTATAGCTACTAATTTGAATGGTTGATATTTCTTTTTGCTTTTGCTAAAGATGAAAACAAAAATGGATTTGAATACATTCTAGTCATGTTCATGTCAATTTTTGTTTTTTGTTCTTTATCACATGTCTTTTCTTCCTTTTCTGAATATATTGTTCATCATGTTACTGGCCAGCGTGTGGTGTATGTTGATATTGATGTCCATCATGGAGATGGCGTTGAGGAGGCATTTTACACTACTGATAGAGTGATGACAGTGTCTTTTCACAAGTTTGGCGATTTTTTCCCGGGAACTGGGCATATTAAAGACACTGGGGTGGGCTCTGGAAAAGACTATGCTGTAAATGTTCCTTTGAATGACGGAATGGATGATGAGAATTTCCGTGCTCTGTTCCGTCCCATCATGCAAAAAGTCATGGATGTTTATCAACCCGATGCAGTTGTTCTTCAGTGTGGAGCTGATTCATTGTCTGGTGATAGGCTGGGTTGCTTCAACTTGTCTGTGAAGGGTCATGCAGACTGCCTTCGTTTCCTTAGATCTTTCAATGTTCCTCTGATGGTCTTGGGTGGGGGAGGATACACAGTACGGAATGTTGCTCGTTGTTGGTGTTATGAGGTTCCTTTCTTTCTCTAATTGCGCAGGATTTTAAACAATGTACTTTAGTGATGGTCTAATATGTTATTTATTGACTACTATTTGTCTCTTTCTATGTTCTAGACAGCAGTGGCAGTAGGAGTGGAGCCTAGTAATAAGTTGCCATACAACGAGTATTATGAATATTTTGGCCCAGACTATACACTTCACGTCGAACCAAACAACATGGAGAACCTAAACACACCCAAGGATATGGAAAAAATCAGGTGATTTATATTAATTGCTTTTTGATTGTATAAGAATTGATGATTCTGATTTTTCTGTTCCATAATTATGACATTAGATACTAGCCATAAATAATTATGAATTTGCTTAGTCATGCTCTATTTTTCTGCAGCTATGTTGCATCCTTTATGCTAATATTTTGACTTTTCCAGAACTTATAAATAGTTTAATTCCATTAACTAGCTGTAATTTGCACTTGAATGTGGCCCTTTTAATTTGTTGGAGATTGGAATTGTATGGGTAGACTTTATTTATGTATTTTTCTAAATTTCAAGTATCTAAAAGCAGTAGCAGAGCTTGATCCACGAGGGAGCCTAAATAGCTAATCAATATACTCAATTTGAAATAAAACATATTAAGTTTTGTTGTAGCGTGATGGTACAAATGTTTTTGGTAGCAAGGCACTCAAGTTGGATTATATGAAGAGATACCATTTTATGCAAGATTGCAAAAAATACCTGACCCAGGATCGATAGTATGCCCTGGTACATGCTTAAAGAAGCCTAACCACTGCGGCACTGCAAAAACCTGTGAAATAGACGGAGACTGTTATATATTCTAAATATAAAAAACTGATTAAATAATCTGAATGTGAGAAAAGTCACCATGGCATGTCGCGTCTTGTGCACATAGTGCCATATATTTATAGTTTTAGGGGGTGCACTACACTGCAAAACAGTTAAAAATATGCGACAGCTCTGTATACCTATTTAGTCAATAGCGCACTATAGTTGCTGGTGGCCACTATTTGAAGTCTTGTGGAGAAATATGCGGTAGCTCCTGCAATAGCAGCCATACTCACAGCTGTTTGCTACCTGCTAAGTTTGCTACCTGCTAAGGGATATGTGGAAAAAACTTGTTTTAGTAGTGATTTTTTGAATTTGATTTTCTTTTTGGCATTGACGTGAGATCTATTAATTTTATTCTCATTTATGAATGTTTCATGAATTTTGAGTATAATTGTTTAATATATGCTTAACAAATTAGAATAGCAGTTATCCCAATATGCACTTCTCCTACAACATTTTTGAAGTATGCTACTTTATACGCCTATCTAGGACTGAACTCTTAAATTGTGGTTGGGCCTAACAGAACTTTTACAAAACCAACTTATAAGGTGAGGATATCTCCCACTTGTTAAAATATGTTTAGGCCATATATTGTTCGATGTGAGACTCTTTATACACCCTCTGATGCTCAACACTATTAGGCTGAGTATGTGAATATGAATGGTGGGTGACCTTATAGCGGAAACCTAATAGCAGGTGACCCAACATAATGAGGCTCTGATTCCATTCTATAATTGTCGTTGGGCCTAACCCGACCTTAAAAACTGGCTTTTAAGGTGAGGATATCTCCCACTTGTAAAACATAAGTTCAAGCCATATGTTGTCCAATGTGAAATAACTATATTTTATAGGTTACACGTAGATCACTACCACCTGAGAAATAGCTGATGTGGTACCTATCTCCTAATGAAATAGTATTTTTTCCCTCCCTGTCTAGTTAATTGTATCTCCTTAAAGACAAAAAAATGGAATGATATCTCGATATATTTTTCAGCGATTGAGCTTGATATGCACAGTAACATTTATTAGTTATATACAAATTTTCTACTTTTTTCCTGTGCTGTTTACTTATGCTTCAATTGATAGTTTGTGGTATTTTCTTGGAGCTAACATTGATTTAAATGGATTATTCTAAATGGTTTTCCAGAAACATGTTACTTGAACAAATTTCCAGACTTCCTCATGCACCCAGTGCACCTTTTCAAACAACACCGCCAATTATACAAGTTCCAGAAGAGGTTTGTACTTCTTAAACTAGTGGAATATACTATCCTTCTACCATCTTCTTTCAGTTTGATTTTATTTAGTGAATGTATTCAGGAAGACGAGGACATGGATATAAGACCAAAACCTCGCATATGGAATGGTGACGATTATGATTCTGAAGACGATGATGAATATGAAGATGAGAAGGCCAGTATAAGGAGCTCAAACTTATCTGCCCGTATGAGGTAATAGTTTTCTTTTGTTGAAAGCTGAATAGTAAAAATGCATCTCATTTTTCACTCTAGTGTGTAGAAATAGCCTAGAAGCTGCAGATATATAGTTATGGATTTGTCCCTTGGACAATAATCTTTAGTGCCCTATGTAGGCTGGAGACTCTAGCCTCAAATTTAATGGAACTTTTGTTTTAGGTTTTTCAACCTCTCTGCTTATCCATTTTTCAATCTTAGTGCCCTATGTACTTTTTATTCTTGAGAATATAATTTACTCATTTTTCTCACTTGTTGTGAGAAAAAAAACATAATTTGTCATAACTTCTCACTCCCATATCATTTTACCATTTTTGTTTTTATTTTAAATTAAATAAATTTGAAAACATTTATGGAAATTTTAATTACTATCCAAACATAGTAATAAAAATAACATTCTCGAGCGTATGATTTTAATCCTCGAAATAAGCACACTTAAGATTGTTGTTTATTTCAGTGTTGAGATTATGAGATTGAATTGATTATTTTATCTTTTGCAAATGAGTTTGATTACCATTTGGTTCCTTTTTTAAAAAATCTAAGAAATATACACTATATGAAGCAGGCGTTCAGCAGTTGATATGGAAGAAGACAAGCCAGAAGTTAAGCCTGATGTGCATTCGTCCTCGTCGTCCTAATAGCGATAAAACAGTGCAAGTTCTCAGTTGCCATGTTCTGTTAGTGAGAAGCTCATTAATGTTTGAGCTGTGTGTTACGCATTTTCTTCTATGATAAATGTGTTTTGAAGTTTAAATATATCTTGAGGTAGATGTATAAAGTAGGAAGCACATTACCTGAGGATGGTGCCATTTTGGTGGCTGAATTGTAAAAGTACATCACCCAAAAATATATTTGGTGCTTTAAGTGAACAAGTGAACACGAGATATGGATGATAATTTCACGGTCTACCTTCGTGCTCATCAGACATAGATATAGGGGTGCAAAAACTTGGTTAGTTTTTTGGTTTGTATTTTGTTATGCTGTTTGTAGCGTGCAAAAAAGAAGAGTCCTAAAAAAATGATTACATTCTCTCTGGGCTTTATATTGACAGATATTATTCTTTGACTAGTTCTTAGACCATGTTCATTTTGTTTGACCGATGTTTAACTAGTTTGATGAAAATTTTGGTACAAAATTGATTAGGGTAGCAATAGTTGTGGTAATATATTACTCATTTGCATCTGTATTTCTACAAGAAATATGAAACAACGATTGTAGAGAAGCAACACAATGTCGAAAACCAATATGATCTCCAATTGAAAGTGAATACTCATGCATAATTATTGCATATGCAAGTTCTTTCTTTGATTTTTTTAGCATTATAAGTACTATTACTAACTCCTAAAAGCTCTTTGGCATGAGAAATATTTGCCCTTTTGCAATCTTGTTCTCATGAATCTTGAGATGAATGCTTTTATATATATATATATATATATATATATATATATATATATATATATATATATATATATATATATATATATATATATATATATATATATATATATATATATATATATATATATATATATATATATATATATATATATATATGACATTTCACCTCGGTTATTTTTATAATCAAAAGGTCAAGTTGTATATTTTTCTATAAAATATAAAATTGCAATTGTTGAGATTTAAATCATGTAAGTTATTTAACAACTGATGTTTAAAGTGAAAGTGAAAAATTTTCATGATGCCTTTTATTATTTTATTTTTCAATCATAAAATGAGTTTTTTTGTTGTAGTGGATGCTTCCTTTAAGTGGTCAAATTTTGAGTTATGGTTTGTTCTTGATGGTTGATCTTTTGTTAGTTTTTATGACGTATGGATGATTACTTTCAAGAGTGGAGTTTTTTTTGTTGTTGATACTTTTGGAGTAAATACTGTGAAGACACTACAAGAAGCTTGAAGATCTCAAAAATTGAATGAATGCACCTGAACTGAATTGTTATGAATTTGTATATTATTATTATCTTTTTTATTTTTTTTATTTTTTATTTTTTTTACCTTGATTGCATTTTTTCATGGTTTATCTAAAGTTGAAAGTATTTGGTAAGTAGAGTGTTAATAGAATTTGTGAATTTCATTAAGCATCAAGCATTTTGCTAGAATGAATTTACTTTACACAATACATTGGACCTCCTTATATAAAGTAAAGTGTAAGGTTGCATACTGATGCATGGATATAAATTATACGCATAATGCTCATGACACCATGCTCATGACACCATGCGTTCTTCTTCTAAACACTTGTATGGTGCCTATATACATACTATCATGAACACATAAGATATGTTACATACCTTGAATTCAGTTCTCCTAATACTTCCCACAAGTTTAAAGAGGGTCGAATGTCACGATTTGGATATTGAATTCAGTTCTTCTAATACTCTCTCACAAGTTCAAAGAGGGTCGAATGTCATGATTTTGACATTGAATTCAGTTCTTCTAATACTCCCCCACAAGTTCAAGGAAGGTCGGATGTCACGATTTTGAGGTTGGCCCGTAGTTCCTAAAATGCAGTAGTGCTAAGAGGTTTGGTTAGTGTGTCTGCAACTTGAACACTATCATGATAAAAAACAAATGAATATCTAACTCAATGTGTTTGGTCCGAGAATGGAGGATTAAATTATGAGATAGAAGAACGATACTTAGATTATCACACAAGAGCGTAATAGGAATAAAAGGAATTGATAATTTAGTGAGGACTGAATCAACCCACAAGAGTTCAGATGTGGTATGACCAAGAGCACGATACTTCACTTCAGTATTGGACCATGTAACTAATGACCGCTTCTTAGAGTTCCATGAGACAAGTTTAAGGCAAAAAAAGATGCATGAAGCAAAAGTAGAATGCAATCATCAGGGTCGATAGCCCAATCAGAATAACTATATGCCCTGAGAGAGAACTTGTGAGGAAAGGAAACGAGTGCGAGAAGTGAACCATGTGAGATGGTACCACTTAGGTAACACAAGATCCGCTTGAAAACTGATCAATGTGACTCAGAAGGAGAAGTAATAAATCGGTATGCTTTGTTCACACTAAATGCAATGTCAGGCACATTGAGAGTGACATACTGCAAAACACCAACCAAGGACCTGTATTGATGAGGATTGGAAAGGGATGAAGAGCTATGTTTACTCAACTTGCATGAACTTAATATAGAGGTATGCACACCATTTACATTAGGCATAATTGTAACACCCCGTTCCCAAAATAAAATAAAACAATCAAATAAAATACATATCAGAGTTTCTCTCCCAAACGGGATGCCGCAATACACATCAAAATTCCCACAAATATTTTTTTCCAAATAATTTAACTGAATTTTTCAATAAAATTGCAGCGGAAAAAGATATGGTCTGCCATAACACAAATATCATATACATACATCATCCATATCCATCATCATCATATATACAATAACGACCATCTGCCCCAAAATACATAACATCAACACTGATCCACATCAAACATCTCACAAAATATCAGATACGCCACGGGGGCACACATATCAAAATACACAATAATACTCCCAAAACGCCCCGGTGTTACGTATCAGAGCAGTCCTACGGAGACACCACAATCCAACTAGCTAAACACCTGGATTGTCTGTACTTCCGAAGAAGCACAGACCACAACAGTAACAAAGGAGTGAGAATCACGATTAAATAATAATGGTATAATAGTACATGAAATAAAAGGCAGAAAACAATAATAACACTATTTCATATACAAATCATCCGGACTCACGGTCCCACCATCAACCACAATATACAATCACGCAACAAATGCACTCACACAACTCTTAACATACGATACCGACTCACAATCACGATGGGTACCGGGCCATCAACCCTCCACGCAGGAGCACGTATCAACGATCTCCACTCAGGGAGCACACCACACCGATGGGCAACTGCCCATCAACCCTCCACAATGGGAGCACCACAACAATACTGATGGACACCTGGGCATCACCCTCCACAACGGGAGCACCTCATCAACATCGATGGACACATGGCCATCACCCTCCTCACCGGGAGCACAACACATTAACGATGGACAACTGGCCATGACCCTCCTCACAGGGAGCACACCAACAATACCGATAGTCACTGGGCCATCACCCTCCACACAGGGAGCACATATCCACAATACCGATGGTCACTAGGCCATCACCCTCCTCTACGGGAGCACACAACCATATTCACATACATCATATATCTAGCACACCAAGTGCAAACCGATCCTATTGATCCACCCCTCACACAACATATATATACACGACACACAAGGCGTACCGATCCCACGAATCCATTCCCATCACAAAATACATACCTAACAAGCACACAAAGCGCGTCGATCCCACGGATCCGATCACCACACAACTTATCACATACAATGCACACAAGGCATGTCGGTCCTACTGACCCAAATACATCACATAACAGCACACAATGCAACGCATAATAAGCGTATCGATCCTAACAGATCCACTCACCACAACACACCAACAAAACGCACTCAAGGCGCAACGATCATGCTGATCCTCATATCTCACACACAACACACACACGGTGCACACATATCACGTACACATCCACACCGGTTCATACATAACGCATAATTCAACGATTATGCCACTTGCGATAAACGCCGGCCGAACAGCCCTACAACCACCAACATACGCCCGCATCAGCATCTCCAGCAAGCCTCTCGTCACACATGACCAACGAGGGTCCAAGTCCACAGTGGAACAACACAAAAACAACAGCAGAATCACAAACTGCTGTCAGGCTCGCTGGCACATTCGCCCGACGAAGCCCTGCAGCGAACACTCGCTACCATTCGCTTGGCGAAACCTCTGGCGAAGCCAGACAGAAGCTTCTGCCAGCACTCGCTGGCTAGTTCGCCCGACGAAGCCTGGCGAAGGCTCGCCCCTCATTCGCCCAGCGAATACCTGCGTACTCAGAAAAATTCTGCGCATCAGAATCATCATCCACTCCCGATTCCGCCCGATTAAATCGAAACCCACAACCAACAACATAGTACAACTGAACTACGGGTCTATTCCCGATTCTATCCGATAAAACGCATCATCTGCTCAAATTACCGACTTCCGGCATAACTCCGAAACTACTAAAAACCCCAAATTCATTCAACCCAATATTCTCAGCACATGCAAACGAATTTAACATAATCTAACACAATAATCTCAGTAACAACAACATGCAATAGCATCAATTCATCATCAACATGCAATTATTCATACATGGGGTTAGGGATTCCCCTTCTACCAACATTCATGTAAAATACCATTTAACCGTTAAATCCCCCCTTACCTCAAATCAAGCTTTGATGATGAACAAGCTCCTCAATCCACACAAAATCCGCTTGCTTAAGTTGCTATTCTTGATCGAGCTCTTCCTCCTCTCCTCGTGTTCGTACGCGTTCCTTCCTTCCTCTATTTTCTCCAAAATGGCAATGTTGCCCCTCATTCCAAATAATCCTCTTTTTTAATCCAAAATAAATATAATTCTCTTAATTCTTTTAATTCAAAAAAATCCATTTAATAAAATTTTCTCATTTATATTAATATTAGCAATAATAATGATAATAATTAATAATAAT